GGCAGTCGATCAATTCCATAGGCGAAGTAACGGCGATCCACACTTTAACAATGGCCACCGAGCCATCCAAATCGTCGAAAAATTTGTTCGCTTGCCAGGTCCAGCGACCGAGACATGGAAGTCTGTAGGAGTATTGCTCGGTGAATATGACGTGTAGGAGCACATACCATCCCTTGGCAACAGTGGGTGTGGGTACTTAGGACAGAACGCGACTTTTTCGCTCTTCGCAACGCGACATCGCGCGGCAGGCTGGCGCACCCGCAGCGAAAACAACTACGGTATGGAAGAACGCGCGATTGGAGCAGCTTTTTTGCATGCGTGAATTTGTAAGTTTCTGATTCCTTACTTGCCCGCGCTCACACCCATTGTATTGATAAATGCGGTGAATCACTAATTCTGTCTCATTATTGAAAACGTTTTGTGACTTACACGATTCCGGGCGATGCCACAAAATGGTGTTTTACGAATTATCGGTGAACGAGGGTTTAATAGTGTCGCTTGTGCTTGCATTTTGTGGGTTCATATTGTTGTATAGACATCTGCATAAGGGTATAACATCTTTTACGGAACGCTTCTGTCCTCATCACGGATATACGGATATGATACACATTTTGACGCCCCACGCCCTGCGCCATACTGGCCGAGTGGCGCACCACTGATTTCACACCAACGCCTCGTCCACTCATCCTGTATCACGCAGCGTTATCCGGGCCTCCTAGATTTGTTGTTAGCGACTATCTGGGCGCCTGCTTCCTGCTACGTCCCACTGCCGCCTCTCGCCACTAAATTAGATGCAATAGAACTCAGCCTACTTGAGTAGATGAGCGTCGCTCCAAAGTGCGTAACGCCATTCCACCCGTGGCCACACAATCCACAACTAATTTGCCACACCGTGCTGTTACTCCCACCGCAGTTCTACACCTCCCCCTCCCTAAGCTAGTGCATACGGCGCTGTAGGTAAGAAAGCTTAGAAAAGCAGAAAGTATGCGTTAAACAGCACGAATGTGAAAAATGAGTGTCATATTCATGATCAGGGCCCCAAATAACCCTATATGCAGAAGTTTACAGTCGTCTCATCAAACGTCCATCAACCATTCCTCTTCCAGGTTCTCCAGAAGCTCTACCATCCATCTCTGCAAAAATAACCTACCTCCCTCTTCACTGCTAGTTAGCGGTCCACTTCTGGTTACCATTTCCTCGTTCATTATCAAATCCATGGCTATTAAGCTTCAAACTCCTTGTCGCAATCAAAGCCGACACAAATATCGCGCTCCAATCGCGCGTTCTCCTATACCGTAGTTGTTTTCGCTGCGGGTGCGCCAGCCTGCCGCGCGATGTCGCGTTGCGAAGAGCGAAAAAGTCGCGTTCTGTCCTAAGTACCCACACCCCTGGCCCATCACTTAGCTCTTTGTGACTCGTTCACCCCCCGCCGAACAGTTCGTTTATCGCAAATAATCTTGCCGCCTTCCAAACTATCTCGAAGTGGTAGAGCATAGTGTGGCAAACATGGATATGATTTTCGATGCGCATTTATTTGGATGAAAAAAGATTGTTTTCTACTAAAAATAGTAATAAGAAAACTGCCATATTAACAAGTTTTCGACGAATGAAGCAATGCTTGACCCGACAGCTTAAAGTAAGTCAACTTAGATGGAATCCGCGACTATTATCTATTTCACACGCTCTTCTCAGTGTCCTAATCATTACTATCTTATCGCGAGCTATGGTACGTTCTCCATCCTCGCGGAGCTCCCTCTTATCGCTTTCAGTTATATAGTGCAGAACAGCGCTCGTCAATTGAGAATCCCATCCACACCCCAAGTTCCACCGCAGCACTCGAGATCCACTAATTGTTCATATCGACTTCATCTAAACATTAGGTCACCGTCAGTAGAATGTCCATTTCTAGCCTTAGGTTCCCATGATGGTCAAGTAGGCTCAGTCTTACTCATAGGCAGGACAAAAGTACCTATCCAGTCCATCAACTGCCAAATATTTCACAAACAGGTTTTTTGACCTTTGAAATGACTCGTTTAAATCCCTTATTCGATCATGAAGAACAAGATAACAGTCAAACAAAAGCTCATTCCGTCAGGTACGCAAAGTTTTTTGCGTCATTCTTGAGTGAAAAATTCGTAGAAGATCTTCAGATTGGATCAGGATACCCCTCGAAAGCTCTCTATCATAAAAAATTGAGAATCCGTTGAAATTTGCGCCCTTCAGAACACTATTCTACTACACTGAATCGTTTGAAAACATGCCGGCCGACTGCCCTGAAATTCCTCACCGGCCCCCAGATTCCGTGAGAACAACTTTTCCTTGTTTCTAACGTGTCTAGAGTACTTTAGTCAAAGGCATTTTGTGCATTTCGAGATTTTACAGAGCTACAAAATAAGTTTTGCCCTGTTGTTACCGGCGCTTTGCATGCAAAAAACGCCTCGTCCCATGCGCGCGACAAGGAAAAAATCGCTCGTCGTCAACGTGTTAAATAAAATCGCAAGGAATGGGGGGGGAGGAAAAAGCGCAATCATTCCGCATCAACTCAATAGTTATCCCCCGATTCATGCGCATCCAGTTTGAATTGTCTCGTCCATTTCGAGAAAAGACTTGACCTCAGTCGGCCTGCCTAGTTGACGTTGGAAAGAGCTTCCCGTCCGTTACTTCTTCGCCCATGGAATTGACCGACTGCCAAGCGAATGAGAAGCAGCTTTTGAAGCATATGGTGACTACGATCCGGCGTAACCATTGAGACAAGTTTTTTTGGAACATTTTTTATCGTTTTCGATGGGGAAACTTGTTTAAAAAAGTCGCAATAATTATGCATCGACCCAGTAATCATCGAAACACGACTACAAGCAATGCTGACCTTTTAGACACAAACTTCCGTTCAAATCTATGCTCACCTTGTTTTGGTCGGCCAAGATATCAGTGAGTATCGGATTCATTATCTGCACTAATATGTCATTGTATTCAGCTACTGTGTATATTCGTTCATCTGGTTGGCCGTGGTTGAGTATCGCCGTGCGGCTGTTGTCCTCCCTGGAAGTGTGGTAGCTATTGCAAACTAGCAAATGAGCAAATTTGATACTTTGTTGGCAAAAAGCGTCATCGCCACCCTCATGGTTCCAATAAGACCGACCAGATGATCTGTTCGAAGTAAATTCGCAAGCGCAAGCATTGTGCTGATTTTGTAGCTCGAAGATGCGTAATGAGAGCGATAGGGGCTTACGATGTGTATACTTAGAAGCACCCATTAGGCCGCCGTGACTAGCCCCCAGAAAAAGAATGGCGTATGCGTTCCGCTTGCCTCTCGTCTCTCTCTCTCACCTCTTCGACATCTTGTCCATCTCGGGCGCCTAGTGTTTCTTCACCATGAGCTCGTACGTATTCAAAAGAAACTAAGAAAGAAGCCTCGGGGCGTTCTTGATGATTTCATCTGATTCTTTTTTACTCGGGGTTTTATTTCTAACAAATTCATTCTAGGACCCTTTTCCCACATCATGTGCTTTTAAAGGCTTATTCCGCGATTGCATCATTGGATCTGTCCCCCTTTCTCCACGAATCAGTTTGTTGCGTCTGCAATCGCAGGCTTTCGATGTCGATCAGACTCTGCGATTGCATCGCGCGATGCAGTCGCTCTTGCTCAGAGTCAACCCTGCGTTGCGCAGTTCGCAACGGCACGTTGAGAGATCCTCAACGCACGCTGTATGGGCGGAGACGCAGACGGCTCGAGCATGCGAGTGTGAATGTTCGCGCGAGAGAACGTGTCTAATCGGGCGAAACTGCGCAACGTGGCCGTTGAGAACTGCGCAACGCAGGGTTGACTGCTGCCAGCCTATTGCCCTATTACAACTCAGTATGGGTGGAGATGGCGTCAACAAATAATTTCGCTGAAATTTCGCTATGGGGGTTATCGAGGGCCCTGATCACGAATATGATATTCATTTTTGGCGCTGGCGCCAATTTGGCGCCATTTGGCGCCAGGTGGCGCCACGACTGATTCCCACTAAATTCGCTGTAAACTTCTGTATAGGGGTTATTTGGGGTCCTGATTACGAATATGACATTCGTTTTTGTTGTTAGCGCTATTCGGCGCCTATTTCCTGCTCGTCTGCGCCCTCGCACTAATTAGATCGCAATCAGGACTAAACAAGGGAGGTCGTTCAGGGTGTGGAGCGCTTTTTCAAAACGGTTCCTTGCATGCTGTAGGGGCTCTCACGGGGACTACAGTACTATGTTTCATTTTCGCTGAGCGGCCCCCTGAAGGTCAAAAAATGGTAAATAAATGGTCCAGGGTTCAGTCCCTCCTGATGACAAAATTTTTGCATTCGGACTGGAGCCTCGAAATTCGCTCAAAATAGCGCCAGCACCAATATTAGGTACCGTATTCATTATCAAGACCATGAATGAGTACTGCACTCAAACTATTGCTAGAATCTAGCGGAAAAAAGTTGTAGTGCCGAAAAGACACCAAATGGCGCGCGAAAAGGCGCTAATTGAAGCTATCGGAAAAGATTGATGTCATATTCATGATCAGGGCACTCGATATTCTCTAAATTAGCAGTTCTAGAGAAAATTGAGATTTTGACCTTGGTCCGAAAATTGGCCATTGATAGGTCAGCCCGTAAGTACCTGCAGCTGGTGAACTGGAAACGAATTCCTTGTTCTCCTTCTCAAATAATGAGAAGTTCCAATACTAAATGGACAATGGCAGACACCCAAGCTGGTATGGACAACAAGACACCATGATTTTGAAGTCGACAGATTCCTCCCTCCATCAGGACGTGGTATATTGGACCCACGGGTCCTCCACTCGAACGGCTGCATCTCGATAGCTGGATCGATTCCAAGGACTGGGACGTGATGGAAGATGTTTAGTAAAACAAATCTTGGTTCTCGTGAACCAACAAGGCGTTCCGCTTGATTTCCGCGCCGCGCACGTCTTCAACTTGCTCGCTGGCGTGCATGACGACCTGTAGCTCATGGTCACCCCTTTTTGCGAAGTTAGGTCAAAACCTCGATTTTTCCCGAAATCCAGCATATGGGGGTAAATCAGGGTCCTGATCACGAATATGTCTTTCGTTTTTGGCGTAGGCGCCATTTGGCGCCAGTTTGGCGCTGCAAACTTATCCCGCCAGTTTTTATAGAAAATCCATTTGTAAGAGCTGCTGGTTGTCCTGACTGTGAATATAGCGTTAGTTTTGACTCTAAAGCAATTTTGCGTCAGTTTGGGAACGTTTATCAAAAATGCAAAAAGTCTGCCGTAGGGCGGACACGAACCACAAACACGCGCCAACTCGAGGCCGACAAACTATCCACGCGGTATACTGCACCACGCTCTCGCGTAGCCGACTACGCCTATGAAGCCCTCGTACATTCTTCAGCACTACCACTGACAGGACTTCAATTTTGAGCGAATTTCACGCTGTTTTCGATACCGTCTTCATCAGTACCCTTCAATTTGCGGGTGATCTTTTCCACAAGTTCAAAGCACCACTCCAAGGCACTGAAAACCACCCATTCTTACCAATTTTTTTCGACCTTTTTTGACCTTCAGGGGGCCGCTCAGCGAAAATGGAACACAGTAATGTGGTCTACGTGAGAGCCCCTACGGCATGCAAAAAACCGTTTTGAAAAAGCGTCCCACACCCTGAACGACCTCCCTTGTAAGTTGAATGTGGAGGCCTCCAAAGTGAGTAGGGCACTCCCCTGTGGTCTAACACACTCCAACTTTTGCCACACGGTGCGTGGTTCACCCACTCCGGAGTTTCACTCCCCTCCCCTAAGCTTAGTCCTAGGCGCCATAGGTGAGAAAGCCTAGAAAATCAGAAAATATGCGTTAAACAACACGAATGTTAAAAACCAGTGTCATATTCGTGATCAGGGCCCCAAATAACCCCTATTCAGAAGTTTACAGCGAATTTGGGTGATAATCAGTTGTGGCCAGCTGGCGCCAAATGGCGCCAATTTGGCGCCAGCGCCAAAAAGGATGTCATATTCGTGATCAGGACCCTCGATAACCCCATAGCAAAAGTTTCAGCGAAAATTATTTTTTGACCCATCTCGGCCCCCACTGGGGTTGTAATAATGCAATAGTGCCGAATACTCTGCAATGTGCACAAGCGACGGGCGATTGGCCCCGCCCACATCGATGCAGTCGACATCGGTATCGATCGCGGCGGGCCATTGCCCGCCGCTTGCACTTTTGGCAGAGCGATTGCATCGCGCGATGCAATCGCTCTAGGCAGAGCGACTGCATCGCGTGATGCAATCGCAGAGTCTGACCGACGTCTTCGCGTTGGAAGGGTGCTGTGTGCTTAGAACGAGCATCTATGTACACCTCGAACACCATGTTGCTCACCGCTGTGATGTGCCTCCAATCTGCTAAGCTCTCTGCGCTCATCTGTGATGCTCTCCTCAGCGCCCAATGTCTCTTCTGTTTGTCTCCTTAACTCTTCTACCACCTAGGAGAGTACCCTTATTCAGGGCGTTTCGGAGGCTTGTTTTTCATTTTTCTTCACAGGCAAGTTAATGAGACACTCACTGTCCTTTACTCGAACCCCGTATTCCTCACGTTTCTTCTACCATTACAGTAGCGGTCAAAACTATTCGCCAGAACGATTTTCGGTGCATTATTTTTTCTCGCTTGAGCAACGTCTTCCGAAAATTGACAAGCAGTTTTCTAGTGTTTTTATATCCTCAAGTTTAAGGAATCAGACATTCAAAGAAAATTAATTTCTCGAGGTCACCATTTTTTCTGGCAAAAAAAAAAGAGAAACCGTTTCGGCTAACACTTTTGACTGCTACTCTTATACGTGCCCTAGGACTGGTATAAGCCTCTAAGACTCGACTACTGCTGATTCGCAGAGTGTGGCATCTGCCTAAGGCGAAATTTGGATTCCCTAATCCCTTTGAGATGATACGGCGCACGGCTTGCTGTGAACTTCTTCTCATGGCATCAAAGGCACGAGTCCGGATCAAATTGGTGTGTTATTTTTAAAAACTTGGGCAAGAAGTGCAATGAGGAACATTAGTGAGGAGAAAAAGCAAAAAGCACCATAGAAAACACTAAATTTCCCTTGTGAGGTCGGCCGTGGTATGGGAGAGACACAGCGCTGCGAGGAGAGGGAAAACGCGAGAGAGCACGTCGTACGCGAGAGGGCGCAGACGCCACGTATGCCGCGATTGATAAGGATGGCAGCACGGCAGCACACAAGGCAAGGCCTTAGCGCCGTTGCCTCGCACTTTTGAGTGCAACAGTGTCGCGCCCTGTGTTTAAGGACTCGTCTTTCTCACTCTAGGATGGACTGGCTCCTGAGACCTCATCCCAATCCATGGCTTCAAAAAAGGCGCATACATTAATTAGAGTGAGCGCAGTACAAAATAAGTTTGCATGACTTTTTAAAATCTCATAACGTCACTTTTTGACTTGCTAGACTTTCTGTTGCAATACCTGTTGTCATGCGTCGGTAATACCAGTTCAGACTGTTCGTCGATGGTTTCTTGGCCATAATGGTGCGATTCTGCGCTATCTGAAAAGCTGTTCAATTTTAAGGCTTTGTTCGCGCTTCCTTTTTACACTTCGCTTATTCCGATGATTTTCTGGCTCGGTAAAACCTAAGTAATGATGAAATTCAAGAAAAAAAAAGCGCTCCGCGAGGCTCTTAGTAAAACATACCTGGTAGTCGAAAAGCGTTGTAGCCGATTCCGGAGAAATCGAATTCGGAGCAGAATTCGTCGTCAGATTCGTGCGAGGAATTGTAGTACTGCTCGATCCAAAGTTGTTCATCTGGGTCTTGGAAGCTGTCTTCGTTTTCATACACAGTCGGTAGCATGCCAAAGGGAATGAACTTAGCCGCCGTATTGACTGATTCACTTGTTGTTGTAGCAGGGAAGGAAGATGGCAGGTAAGAGGGCACTTCGTTTTTGTTTGCCACTGGTTTTGACAGGTAATGATAGGTGTGAAAGGCATACATTACAGCGTGATTTCGACCCATATATGCATGTTTGGCACGGGTAGCGTAGTAGCTAGTAATGCTGCCTTGCGTGCGCGTGGTCTAGGGATCAAATCCCGGATTGGATCTCGCTCAAGCCAGCCAGGCATTCCATCACTCTGGCGAGGGTTCATTGGTGCTGAGTTGTGTGAAGGATGAAAACAATCATTCATTTTCGGGTGGTCCACAAATTCGTTGCATGAATCAGATCTTCTACAAACATCACTATAATTTCCAGTGCAAGTTGAATGCATGGCTCATCCTTAAGAGTTGCTCAGAGCCAAGTGATTTATTTTTTGTTTTCACACTTTATTTGGGATATATTGAACAGAGAAACTTCATAGATAGTGACTAGTTATTATATAGGTCATCTCATTCAAACATGTCCACGGTTTTATTCGAATAAAATGAACAGCAGGAAAGATAAAAAGCTAATACTTTGGTGTTAAGTCAAGCAGATCTTGTCGTTGTTAACGACCCGATCCCAGCGTCTAGAAAACACTGGACACCGCGCAGCTTCTTCATTTCAACAAGTATAGACAAGATGCTTTTGATGTCAGTATAGATGATCAACGAATTGTCGTAGCGCTTCCCAACGAGTAGGGCGTTCAGTTCGCTAAAACAGCTGAGGTCGCACGGCTGCAGTTGGGAAAATACGGCTGATAAGAAGAGGTCACAATATCCGTTTGGTCGAAATACCCGTGAGCAATATGAGCTATGTGGGGTCTGGCGTCGACATAGGTGATGATATCGTTATTGTAGTTTTATACTGCTATTCCTTTGTCAATTTGTTCGCTAAGAACAAGCCATACACTTGAGAAACGCCGGAGGTTTTTTCCCGACAGAGCCATTTAAGAGGCACATCTCAGAAATCCATCGCCATAATAATCATCCACGTGAACCCACGTGACTTCTCGTGATCCAATTCGGGCAGTTCCTCATTCGCGTTAATCCAAAGTTGACGCTTCTGACTTAGGCCTCAGGGTACAATTACCACACAAATTTCGTTTATGAGCAGGGTCCAGTTTGATAGTCTTAAATGCCGTTATTGGCAGAGAAAATCATGCTACAGACACCAATTCGATTCTGGACTCCTGCATCTGGGAGTAAATGGCATATCCAAAAACATGTTCTGTGGACCATCCCCAATTTTTGGGCACAATTCGCGTAACAGGTGCAGCTAGACTGCAAGTCTCGTGGGCAAACATCGCAAAGGTTCAACATCTGTGATGCGCCATTTGAAACCTCATTTTCATCCACCCGCTCTTCTTGGCAAGGTGGGCAATGTGAGCGCGTCCTCAACCACAACTCGCATTCCGTTCTTCCCTTCTTTGAGCTCTCACACCATATCTTCAACGTAGCACTTCGAGAACACTGTATCACGCGTAAGCTTGAGCCAGCACACAGAGAATTCGAGTTGCGAATTTTACGTATGTCACCAATCATTTGGAAATTCCACCTCGATTTGGGTCACTATGAATTCTTTTATGTTTTTAAGTGTTTCCTCCTGCGGCACTACAAACTTAATTGGGGTATACCGTAGCTAGGTGTGCTAGCTTCAAAACAAAAGCAAGCAGAATGCTCTAGCTCTTTTACTTTTCCCACCATTTCTCTAGATGTCTGGACATGTTTGAATGAGATGACCTAATATATATGATACGATTGGTTCAGTTATTTGTATAACTCGGCTTAAGATATCCGTGCTTTACATTATCTGAGTTTCTGCTTTTTGGTGCCTTTCGCATTTCTGCACGGCATTTCGGTTGCAGTTTCCTACTGGTTTGGTGCCAAACCTACGAAGAAGCATGAACTCATTGATTTGGACCATCCACCAATTGTTTCATAGATCTACGCACAATTTGCGGGTGTTACCGCGCCGCAGCTATGGAAGATTTTGTAAACGTGGCACGTAGTCGAGTAATCAACGCATCCCCAAGTTTATTATTTTATTAGGGCGTTGTTTGTATGACAAGACAAGACAAACTTATTGATGTGAAATAAGTGGAAACAAGTAGGAATATTAGTAGAATAGAAATCTCTGTACAATTGTTTGAACGTGGAAAGTGGTTTAGATGAAGTCGTTATCCTTCCATTTCTCTAGCTATGATTCATGGGGGCTCCCTGGAATAGCTCACCGGCGGCGCGGACGTCACAGTGGCGGCGAGGGATTGAGCAAGCGATGGCGCCAATACGTTTTTAACATTGCGTTTAGGACACTTATCGACTTGTGGAGTCGAAATGTACGGCTTTGCAGAAATCGCATCGGTATATGGTGCGCTGATATCTTCTGTAAGCTCTCACCGAGGGTGTTTAAGCACGACTTTTATTGGCTTTACGTTTTCGGTTTTCAGGGCCTCTGAAGAAGACGGACCCCGCCGGAACGTAAAGCAATATAAGTCGTGCATTTAACAACCTCGTGGAGAGGTTTTACAGAAGATATTAGCCATTCACTATCGAACTTTACTATGCAGCGCGTTAGAAGAGAAACACTTAGTGAACTCGACCTGCGCACTCGTTAGGGGTTTCACAACGAAACCTTGATTTCCTCTCGCAAACAAATTCCTGTTTTCGGTCGTTTGAAAATTATAACCTACACCAATACAATCCTTCCTTACGGCACTAGGGTGGTGAGGTGCTAGCTAGCCGGTACAGCATTTCTATGTCGGAAGTGGCAGCAACGCTTTCAGTCCATAATCTCGTCGCTGTTGCCGCAGCTGTGACGTCAGCTGCACGAGATCGCGTCCGCGCCGCCGGTGAACTTTTCTCTCCCCCATTCATGGGCAACAGCCTCGTCTAGGATCATAATTTGAACATCAGCTGAAGTTCATCGGGTACCTGACAGGAGGTCCATTGCGCGGTAAGAGTCATCGGACGAGTCGCATCGCATGGTGAGCGATGTAGGAAGTACGATGGTACATTTTATTTATCTTGACGCTAAATCACCACAGTAGCGCTGTGACTCGCCCGCTGACTCTCCCTTGTTGTCGCGCGACAGACCTCCTGTCGGGTACTCAAGTTCATCGCACTGGCCGAATACGGATGTTAGTGTCGCAGTGATTCCGTATTGAAACTTGCGGTATATTACTGAAGTGGTTGATCAGCGCCGTGTGGTCCATTTTTTCATAGGCGTGGTTTTCGTTGTGTTGGAGCAAGTTTTGAACAATCTAAAAACACAAATATAACAAAAGAATCGGCGCTATCGCAAAATACGGGGGCATCTCTAGGACTAAGCCTAGGAGTGGAGATGAACTCCGGGGAAAATGAAAACTGCATGTGTATCCTGGACTCCCACTTTCCCTGCCCATGGATTAGTTCCGTTCCCAACAAAGGTGGGGTGTTAACGCGGTTTTAAATGCATTCACAAATGTTACCACAATGTCCCCGTATCTTGCGATAGCGCCAAAAAAACTTCTGGTGAACTGTGCCATTATGTCGATATATGCTAATTAAGATGTCGATTCAATTTGCCCCATTCGGAGAAGCTGGATGGCGATACGGAATGCCGACTTTTTACTCCGTACGATCGTCGCCATGTGGTTGGCCGACTGTACGTCTCGGCTCGCTTTGTCTGCTTCGCAAGTCGGGTGAGTTGGATGTCTTGGAACAATTTTTTCTGTGTAGTTTAATTTTGTAATTTGGTTTTTGCACGGGGGACGGAAGGGCATCGACTCATATGCCACCGTTCCAGACCGAACGACTCGTCTCCGTGGTAATCCCTGTGGTTGAGATATCGACAATTGAAGAGTGTAGTGCAGCCTATGGCGAGAATCTCAGTCGTGGTACTGGATTGCTGATTTGTTTACGGAATGGGGTAGGCGAATCGCTTCATTTGTGATTTTTGTATGATTTTCTGGTTTTCGTCTGAAGAAAGAACAGGGGACATTCTCTGATAGTGTGCATGCTACAGGGCACAATCGTCTTCTCTTTTGTACCGGATCGTGATAGGGTTCTTGCAAAGATCACAACGTTTGTGGAACGATTTCGGATTCAAAGCACGCTGAGGAAGCCGTCCACAGCAAAGGTTAGTGTTATACTCGATTTTTGTGCAGGGTTGCGGTAGTCATTAGGTCA